CAAAAAGATGTATGTTTGCATCTCAGTTACAGCCTCTCTGCAGTTCCAAAGTGGTAAGAAGCCTATAAATACATCAAATCCTAATTCTGTTTTTCAGCTTTTCACACGTGTAGTACTTGTGTTTGGAATTTCTCCATAAACCAGCTAACCTTGAATGGGTGCTTGACAGTAGCAGTATTTTCCTTCTTGAACCTTTGCTAGTACAGGAATAATAATTAGCTAACAGTACCTCCAGACCTGTTAATTTTGAACTTGAGTGCTTGCCTTGCCTGCGGGAGAATCTAAGTCTCACTAAAAACATGAGAGGTACCCTTGACACCATCTTAATTTAAAAATTGTCTCTTCTCTATGTATTTCTTCCTTTTTAAATCATTGTTCTTTCCTTGAATAGTCTTGTCTTCTTCTAAGGTCTCAGACTCAAGAGAAAATAACCTTTTAAACTGTGATGACAGGCCATGAAATAAAGTGAATTAACCTGATGTTATGGAGGAATGATTGACTACCGTGGTGTGAACAGCTGAAGGACAGATGAGGAAATAAAGGAAAAAATAAAGTTTGAAGATGAGATGAGAACTCTGCTATTCATCTTTTTGATTTCATTTTTGTAAGACTCACATTAGTTTATATATCTAAGAAAGATGGCAGCTCTCTGTGATCGTTATACTGATGGTTAAGAAGGGGATTTTAAAAATAAAGAAACCAAAAATATATGTATGTATTTTAAGCTTCCAAGTTAGTGATTATGTGTGTACTGTCTTACCCATTACTTGTCAATAATATTTACATGGGTATAATACTGTCACAGGCCAGAGGGGAGGAGTATGGCTGGCTGAGACATAGTTTACCCCGTCGTCTGCTGGGTGGTCTGCCTGTAGCAGCATCTAAAGATGGAAATGGAAGCCTGATGCCCTGTGTGCTTCTGTTTCACCCTGGCTTAAGTGCAGAATGAGAGCCCAAATGAATCAGTTTTTAAGCACCGGTTCCATGATGTTCACAATTCAGTATCTGGGCTGAGGTTTTGTTGAGTGTTCAGTACTCTCCCATACTGGCCATTTATCTGCTTCATCTTCTGGCTCCAGGAGACAGTTTCTTTCCCCCATGCATATGCCAGGAATTCGAAATGCGTACGACACTAGTCTGATCATATCATTTTCTCCTGCAGCAGTCCAACAGACTGGGAAAAGGGCCAATGAGATTTAAAAGGGAAAAACAGAAAACAAGACAAATAAATGAAAAGGCCAAAACCCGCTTAGGAATTCATGATGCCAAAGCAAGCAGCAGTGCTGGTGGCACAACTGGCACATAGTGGATAACAAGACACCAGAAGTGGTGAGGTCCTCAGCAGCCAACGCTCGTCTGCATGTCAGCAAGCAGCAGGCACCCTGCCTACAAATGGGTTAATGGGCTCTGTTCCTCTTACACTCATTCTGCTGAAGCAAAATGGATGGTCTTCATCCCTGCCAGCAGCTCTGTCCAACCCGGGGGGGACTAGGGGCAGCACCGCTTCCGAGGCACTGCGAGCCTTGCACACTCACCTCTCCTTGGGCTCAGTTCAACGCTGGAATGTGTCATTTGACGGACCTTGCAAGTTCAGAGCCTCTTTAATTTTGACATGGTGTTAAGTTTATTACAACCTGGTGAAATGAGTCACTACCAAATCCCAATAGCTCTGCCCTCCTCCTTTCCCACATGTTTTCATGAGGATAGTGAAAAGTTTAACCTTTCAAATAAGTCTTTTTAAAAAATGTGCAGTGCTAGAGCAATACAATATATCCACAATATGAAAGGACACAGTTCTAGGATAACTATTGCCTTTAGCTAGCAGTAACAAATCACAAGCCCTTTAAAAGAAAGCCCTATCTATTAAAAGCACTGTTGTGCCAGGGGGGCAGAGACCAAGGTAATATAAAAAAATCTAGGGCTTGCTACTGCAGAAACAGCGCGACCTCTTGAAATCTGAGTATCCCCGATCCCTTTGATTTAACAGGGAGCTGGAGAAGTTTAACCCTTTGTAGAACCTATGCAGGAATTTTCTGTCTTGGATCCAGGATAAGGCGTATATCCAATGGCCTCAAAGAGTTCCTAGCTGGGATAAAGTCCCCAGACTGGGATTGTTATTTCTTATTTTTAAGAATCAAATCGTGTAGATAATTTTGGTTGTAAATTTGTTCCTTCCAAGACTTTTATTGAGACTACTGACTATTTTTCAAGTTACCTGAACAATCACCATCTATAACAAGATACTGTCAGATAATATTTATTCCTTTCTCCCAGCTGGGCGGGGAAATACTTTATCCTGACATAGGAATGTATTTAGGCTCCATTATCTCCTGCCCTTGAGGCTACAAACTGTAGTCCAAAAGGTAGATACTCTCAGCTTTTCAGCTGAATTGCAGTAATTTGTTTGCAATCTCATCCAGTGAGTTCAAAGACGTCATTTTATGCTTGTTACAAAATTGGCAGCTGCTCTTCATGTAATCACATCTTTCCATCGATTTCAACGGCTTTTGGATCAGGCTCTTACAATGCAGGGTATATGGGTTATTATTTCTTCATATTACCCCGAACAGTGAAATATGATTATAATGTTCTGCAAATGCTTTACTGAGGAAAGAAGCATAATAAAATACTGAATGTGATTAATTAAAGAAAATCTTTCTGTCATTTCAATACATTAGATAAACACCCATATAATAAGTGATCCTGATCAGGAATTGATCTGCTACCTTGAATCATACTACTGCTATCAAGTCTAATCTTAAATCTTCCTTAATTCCCATTAAAATGTGTGTTTTATTTATTATGAATTTAGCTGTAATTGGAGAAATTACTTATCACCATCAGAAATGAATGTTTCCATTCCACCTTATAGGCTTTTGTCAACACTTCTGACATACAAGGAAGCTGAGGCTCATTTTGAGCACTTTCCATTTCCAGATTACCTGGGGGAAGGAGAAGGGCCAGGGAGAAATGTGCAGTGCTACTGGGAGGACTGGGGAGGTTGGCTGTGCTGTACCTAAGCCTGGGAGCCTAGGATGCTAAGTGCCAGTTAGAGCAACCTGCCTGTTTTCTCCTTAAATATGTAAATTGCTTGACTACATTGGATCTCACACAGGCCAGCAAGAAAAAGAATTCAAAATTTAGGCCCTGCTAAAAAACAAAGGCAGGGAAGGAGCTGACAAGAATAGCAAGATTAACCTTGTTTTACCATTACTTTGCAGCATGTTACAAAATGATATTTCACATGCAGCTTTTACAGCCATCCCTGCGAAAGATTACTCTCTTCCTGCCTCCAGCTGTCTGGGAATACTGTTCAGTAAGAATAACTGATTTTTTTTCCTAATAAAAGTTATATATGGCATCCAACGGGTATGTGGATAACTAAATTCATATAAGATTTTAAAAAATGTAACACTATTTGCATATAAAGTCAGCAGAAATTACAAGATCTCCAAAACTTCTCTCAGCTGTGCTTTGGAGAGCCCTGAATTGTGATTTAGGAGCTTACCTATTGAAAAAATTGGTTTAAGATTAATATATTTAAATAGATTCTAACACTCTTTTTTCAGACCAGTATAGAGTCTGCCTGTACATGAGTCTACCAACTCCCTGGAGAGTAAGAGTCCTCCATGTGAATGAGACCAGCAGAATCACGACCCAAATCAGGCACACAAGCCAGGTGAAGGCAATTGATAAGGCAGTGGGAGGATAATGGATGATGACTTAAGCAAGGAAACAGCTCCTGGGTTGTTTGGCAGAGCATAGGAGTTTTGAAATCAGGGTAAGGGGGGAGGAAAAGCAGCTTGTGAGCTGGACATCACTGGAAGGAAGCGAAGAGAAAGAAGTGGCACATGAGGAGGTAAGGGTGCTTAGGACAGCCTGGGGGATATGGCAAGCCCTAGTAGAAGCCTCATATTAGGCTCTCTTAGGCACAACAAAAGTACAACAGCAACACTTAGTGACAGCATAGGGAAGGACAGTTAAGGGGAAGGCATGGAACAAAAGCAAACAAGTCTCAATGTCACTTCAAAGAAAAATAAATTGGGAACGCAGAGCGAAAGCTGTGCTCTCCACGTACTTTTGTATCTGCTACATTGAAGAAGTTGCTGCAACCCACTGGGAGACACAGGGAAGTTTGTGAGCTGCTCAGGAGATGCATGGAATGAGAAATTGAAGACTGGTTAAATTAATCTGGCTATTAAGTATTTTTCCTCCTGAAGGAAAAAGGGAATGGAGTTGATAGAAAAATACTGTAAAGCCCAAAGTGTACAATCCAAGCCCAACTTGTTTGTGGCTGTGCTAAATAGTGTAGGCTGTGTTATATGCAAATCTCAGCACATCTTCTTTCTTAGGATTATGAGTATCTGTAGTTTTGATAGGGTTTTTTTTTTTTCCCTTAAGAACACAGCTATGCACACAACTTGAAATTATTTCTCATTTAAGCTGTAGAGTATCACCAACCCACTGCCAAACCCACACAAAACATTGCCTTGTGTTCAAATGAGGAAGTATTCCTGCCAGTCCCCAGCGCTGCTGTATAGAATTATGGGAGGAGAGAAACACCGAAAGCTTTAGAGTTTTGTTTCATGATTGTTGTATGAAAACACACTTGTATTTATTATTCATTGTTTTAATTCCTGTCACATAATACTCGTGCGCAGCAAATTATAAACTTGTGATAAAACACGCTAACTGAAGCTTATGGCATAACCAAAGCAGACGCGGCTATGACCGATGAAGCTTTGTGGACGCGATGAGGATGAGGGCACTTCTCCCCTGCCTAGGGGCTGCTGCCCTCTGCTACCCCCGCACCTTGGGCACCCAACTCCCCTCACGCCACACAAATCGCTGCCCCAACGCGTGAGCGGTGACCACCAGAGGGACCCTTTGCACTATAGCGCCTTAAATCACATAACATTTTAAACATTCATTCACGGTCAGGCCTAAACAACAGGATGCTGCAGCACATAATTTCCTAAGCTTTCGCAAAGGAATCTTACCGGTAAAGCCTGGCTTACAGCTGCAGATGTAGCCCTCGGCTTTGTCATAGCTGAAGGCGGGCGGCAGGCCGGGGACGCTCCCGTAGCGGCCGGCCCATGAGCGCTCCACACAGTCACCCCCAGAGAGGCAGGGGCTGCTGCTGCACTCCCCGATGTCCTCCTCGCAGCGAGAACCCATGTAGCCTGAGGAGAGCGTGAGGAGAAGGCCTTTAATTCATGTGCTATCCATCCCTTCCAGACCTGAAAATATTACTGTGAATATTAGATGTGCTTTGTTTCAGACTCTGTCATGTGCTAAAAGATGTCCTCTGCTTCTTGAAGGCGCAAACATTCCCTTGCAGCTCTCTGTCAGGGCTCGGCAGCAGGGTATTGCTATGGCTAATCTGCATTAGCTCGCTGAGCTTTGCTGTGCTCTACAGGCTTTGGTATTTTTAGGAAGTAAGGCGGAGATCTGTGTGGATAACAAGGCGCTGCATTGTGGTGTAGGTACGCTCTCAGGTTGTGTGAAGTTTTCCTTTTGCATCACCTCCTTATGACAGAAGAGGGCAGGGAGTATAAATTACTTGGTGTTTGTAAAGTGCTTTATCTGGCTTAATCTATCCCGATTTCTGGAAAATGCTAAGGGCTCCATCTAACCTTTCCATTTCTAATGCACCGAGAACTGTGTAGCCCAGCAACATTGTGGCATTTACTCTTCACAGTGCGCCCTGCTCTTGCGTCCTCAGTAAGGACACAGACGTTTCTAGAGAGACTTCTTGTAGTTAGTCCACGTGCTGAAAGATTCACAAAGTCTCTGGAAGAGCTCAGTGTCTGTGTGCCCACTGGGAGCCTTTTTGCAAACAGCTGGATATGCCAGCATGGCTGGTAGAGGAGAACATGGCCCAGTGTGTTTCACCCCACATTGCGAGGCAGGAGAACTTGCATTGGGGATATGAAGGTGACCGGTTTTCCAATGTAACACCTAGTTTAGGTTTTATTTATGAACAGACAATATTTTGCATTGAAAAATAAGTCTTTCAGACTGATTTAAAGGGCACGTTAGTGAAGAGTAAAAAAGGGTCAGGTGCAGCAGTGAGTCACGTATCAAACGGGTTGAAGGCTTAAGCAACTGCAAGATAGATCCCAACTTATCTCTTCTCCTAACTTGCATAATACTGGCACTTTTGGTTTTGCCAGCTTCTGCTGTGCAGGGAAGTCCTTAGCTGGAAAAGGGAGCAACTGACCCACAGAGGTCTGGCTCATGGTGAGGAGTGAAGCCCATCTAAAGACAAGCCCATGGAGTATTTTTAAGCGTATAAAGCTTCAAGCTTTTATTGTATCAGCAAAAGAGTGAGGATGTGTCTACTACACAAGAGAGTATTTATAGGAGAACTTAGAGCTTACCTGGCCAACAGCGGCATGTGTAATTGTCGACATTGTCCTCACAAGTGCCGTTATTGTAACATGGCTGTGACCAGCACAAGGGAGTTAGAGTCTCACAGTGTGGGCCCATAAATCCAGTACCGGTACAGTTGCAGCTGTACCTGCAAGACAGAACGCAATGCTCGCTCTAGCTGGAAGTCAGGAGATCTGGGCTTTGTTCCCAAACCTGCACAGACTTCTTGTGTAGCCTTGGCTAGCAGCTTGCACAGTTGAGTCCAGGCTCGAGACCACCATCTGGTGCTCCAAGAGAAACCACAGAAATTGGGAACCAACAATGAGCTTTTCGCTGAAATATGTGGTTTTGTCTGGGGAAAAAACCTGCTTGTGAATTCAAATTGGTTTTGACAGGTCATTTCTTCTAAGAATTATTGATATTTTTTTTCTTCTTTTTTTACTTTTTTGGGGAAAAGGTTTCTGTCATTTCCAATGCAATTTTTGTAGACTTTACATTATTCACAAAATGGAAAAGGGGAGAGGCAGTAAGTGTCTTAGTATCCCTTTCTCTTGGACTGGTAGAAATTGAATTGGCAAAAAAATAAGGAAATTTCTGTTCCTCAACTAAGTGGTATTTTTTCTCTTTGATGAAAAACAATTTTTTTGTTGTTGTTAGGTTAGTACAAAAATGTCAATTGCTTGCACAGTTCCAATAATAACAGTAATATAAGCTTCCTTTTCATAGCAGTGTTACTATTATGGATTTAGAAGTAAACAAACTATATAAATGAACAATGTGCAGGTAATCAGTAACGTCTGGGGATTTTTGCTTGTGGTCTTTTTCAGGTGAGCTAATTACTATAAAATACATAACTTCTATGTTTAGGTCATAAGGTATAAGGTCAACTCGTACATGTCATAAGAAAAGACAGGCCTTTGCAAGATAACTATGTTAAATATGCATGCTTGGATGATCTTTAATCATAATCAGAAAAAAAATTATTCTTATTGCCTTAATTTACATTAAAATGACACACTGGTTATTATACAATTGAAATCATGGGGAATCTTGCTGAAGAAGAGATTAGTATGTTTATTTGATAATCTCTGTGCTTAATATCTAAGTCTTAGACTTAGAGTAAATATATGGAGAGAAAGCGAAATTGTTGAACATTTGGGAACATCAGAGAACAACTGGCTCCTGCAGTCTAACAGACCAAAAAGTGTAAACTTTTTACTACACCATTTAAGTGTACATAAGCAGAAACTTCTGGCAGGCCAGTTTATTACTAGTCTATGGATTATTCTTAAATCAAAATCAGAGATGATGTAGACCAGGTGGCATTTGAATTTAGGATATAAAAAGTAATGAGGAAGATGTGAATTAGGAAAATAATTTTCATTCCAAGATATGTTCTCAAAACAGAAGTCTCTTTTGCTGTATTTTTCACACATTTCCTCCATGTGCCTTCAGTTTGGTGCTGTTCAGCTTTGTGGGGAAAGATATTTTCTGTTTTAGTCCATGCTCCTTTTTCCCTTTGGTCCAGAATTAAGGAGCAGTGAGGAATATCCTCAATTCACTGCTTAATGTAAAGCCCCACTTGTGTGCCTTTTTTTCTTGGTATCTTGAAATGTTTGACATTGCTGTGATCCTTTAGGGATTCTGGAGGGTGCCCTGCTCATGATTGAGCAGGCAGCTGGCATTTTCTATTAAGAGTGATACTCTTAGATACTCTACCTAACATATTTTTTTAAGCTTCTTGTTTGATGTTCTCACAATATGCAGAAAGCAATACATGCAGATGTTCTTTCCTGTGCAATCAAAAGAGCGTTGAAGGTCCTGAGAATATTTCCTATGGAAAAAGGCTTGGAACATGCAGAGGTATCCTCTGTGCCTATGCACACCCGTTTTCGTAGGTCCAACTAAGGCACCTCTGTAAAATGCTGAGTTTAAATAAGAAACATTCAGTAATGCACAACTGTGGGTTGTTTGTGGGGGTTTTTTGTTTTGTTTTGTTTTTTTAAGAGATCAAGTTCTACTTTGTTGCATTCATGAAACCTCGCTGGAAAAATCTGTCTGAAATTTGGGAGAAGATTTGATTCAGTGTTTTTATTTATGGCCTTAAATGCTAAATCTATCGCCTCACACATTTCTGTGATAACTGGTGGCACACACAAAAGCCTGAGCCATACTGTAGCATTAGTCAGAAAAGGAAAACTACTGTTCAAAGACTACAATTCTTCATTTAACCCAAAAAAAACACAAAAGAAAGGAAATTGCTAGACACCCTTCTGTTTTGAATTGCTTTGTTGTCCAACCCTTTTCATCATGTAACAAATGTGGAAAAAGCTCCAATCGTTCTCCAGATATCCTGCAGTATTGCAAGCCAATTAAAATTGCTCTTACAATTTGTTACCTCAGCTTTAAAAGCTAGGAGAAAAATGAGTAGGATTAAGTCTGGCCTGAATGAGCATCCCAGTTGCTCACCTTGTGCGTGTAGCCTCAAAAGGCTTGCAGGTTACTAAGTGGGTCTGTTGTGAACTAGTCGGGTACAAGGTGACCTCCGTCTCCCTGCTGTCATGCTTTAGCTACGCTGGGAAATAGTAAATTGCTTTGTTCTGCTCAGAGTCATTCAGCACTGCTGAAAAGGAGCTCCACAAGGTTTGTGCCATGTCACCACGCTGCACAAAAGCTCATTCCCAGAACAGGATCTCTTCCATCTCTCATTCAAGGCAAGCATGCCTTTCGCTGACGTGATTTTGGAAGGATGCTTGTGGCACTCAAATCATCAAAACTGCTTTATAAAAAACTGGAAAATACACAGGACAAATCTTATACTGGCAAAGGGAGTGCCTGCATGTATACACTTAGGAACTTTCAGCTTTTTTTTGCTTCTTTTTTCCCCTATTACATAGACTGGAGCTTATACATATACATTTTCAGTTTTGGGCACCTCATGCCGAGTATGCAAAGCCAATATTGGTGAATGAATGGCAGAGCTCTGGCTGCCTGGGCTGTGCTTGGATCTCTGTAGGGCTATTAACATCAAGTGGAGAAACTTACTTTTCTTTTGCCTGCTATTCTCCTTTTTTTTTTTTTTCCTTGTTCATCGACTGCAAGTTGTTTTGAATAAGGAGCTGTTGTCCTATATGCCTGTAAAGTTCCTGACACGTTTCCTAATGATATCTATTACTATGGTTACTATTATTACCGTTTTCCTCTGCCTCTCTTGTCTAATGCTTCTGTCTGTTGGTGTGGGCAGCTGCTGTTGGCAAATTCAATTTTATACACTCTCATGTCTCTCTTGGGAACTAAACTTTGATGAGTGTCAGAAACAGAATTCATCTGTAAATGACAGTCTTCAGGGCCGGACAAACAACACATTGTAAAGATTTAAAGTAAAAGTACAAATATGAAAGACCTACCACTTGATCAGTCTTTGCCACAAACGTTTTGTTGTCCCACTGTCTCTGACACCAGACTTGTGTTCTTTAATTCTTTTCAAATTTAAAGTGAAATCAGTGTAGGATCAAGGAATGAAAATGAGAATTTAAAATTAAAACAGCTACCTAGCAGTCCAGGCTCTCATAGCATTCCCATCTGCAAACCGATGAGCTAACAGCACCTCACATTAGCGCTACCCAGCTGTAGAGGACCTACCCATTGGCATTGTCTGTGCATTGTCCCCCGTTAAGGCATGGCTGGCTGACGCACTCGTCGATGTTGGTTTCGCAGAGGTCTCCGAGGAAGCCCGGCGCACAGGAGCAGGAGAAGCTCCCCAGGGAGTCCTGGCAGGTCGCACCGTTCAGACACGGCTGTGATGAGCACTCATCAATTTCCAGCTCACAGTTTGTACCTTCAAAAGCAAAGAAAACAAGCAAACCCCAAACTTTGAAGTACAATGTCACCTAATTTTTTATTTTTTTTAAGTAATTGCCTATTTTTAAAAGGTGTTTCCTCCTCAATGTTCACTGCAAGACTAGTTTTTTCAAGGCTTAGGAGAATTTATAAAAAGCAAACCAGTTGTTATTCACAAGGATAGGTAGAATAACACCTTTTTATGTTAGTTTGAACGTGGAAATGCAACAAACTAATTTTCATATTATTCAAACCATGCTACTATCATACTTATATAATACAGAAGTGACTAGTAATTAAATGACCTCAGAAGAGTCCATTTAAAGCTGCACAGTTAATTGAATTAATTGGAAAGCTGTCTGTCTAGCTGTGTTTTATTGCCTTTTTTTTTTTTTTTTTGAGATTTAGCAATGTGTAAATAAATTGGTCTACAATGCCCTGTTTGCAACAGGTCAGAATCTTGGAGCTGCTCTTCAGAGATAATTGATGGAACTAAATTAGTACTAATATTAGTTTATAGCTACTTATGGTAGTTGGCAGGTTAAATATACACTCCTTTTTCTTATTTCTAGCACAGTTCATGAGATAGTAAGAAACTTTCATAACTAATGCATTGTAGCTTCTGCTTTGATTATATCAGGGTTTTGTATGCATATGCACTTATTTAGTATTTTGAGCACTAAAGTGATGTTTTTTAAAATAATTTTCACCTGCCAAGTCAATTTGTTTTAATAGCTACAGTATCAGCCACAAACCAGATGCAAAACAGCAAATTATAAAGAAGCAGCTGCTTTTAAGTGGACTTCCCTATCTTTTATTTGGCTTACCAAAGTAGCAGTAATATTGTAAATAGTTTTCAGGAGAATTTCATACTTGAAGGAGAATTTGCAGCCCTAAGAATGGGTTCCATTTTTTTGAGAGGTGAAGTTTCTGGTACAAGATGATAGGGCAGGCTTTCAAAAGATTGGAACAGACATGTTTTCGTGATGGATATTGTCTCAGCAATTTATTTAGGAGCTCCCCTCTAATTCTTTCTTTATGCTTTTTTTGCCAGCTCTGTCCTGCTGTGAATTTTGTACATTTAATGAATATTTTTCTCAAAACACTAAGATTGCTGAAATTTAGCACTGTTACTAATTTATTACTTGATTACTAATTTATTTTGACCCTTTTGAATGTAGAATCTCTAAAAAAAAATAAATCTAAACCCCTACATTTTAGATAAATACCTGGAAATATCTTAAAACGTCAAAACAAAATTTGAGGATGTTAGCTCACAGCTATTTTTTCATTCTATTTAAACCTAAAAGTGCAAGTTCATCTTTCTAGTAGTTATGAAATATTATTGCTGGAATTTTAGAGAATATATTTTTATAGTTCCTTGAGACAACATATAGAACACTGGATAGGTGAAGTCGCTTGTCCCGTGCCTCCAGTTTAAGGTTCAGGGGTTCAGCTATCCACTGTTTTCAGTGAGAGCCTGCCGTGAGACCCTAGCACAGGAACACTCTCTTATGGCTTTATGGTAATGTACATTACATCCAGATATAGTGAGCAATCCCTCTGTGGTCATTGCCCTGTGAATTCACTGTAATTGTAAACAATGTGTTTGCAGAAGTATGTCTAGTGACCGTAAATCTGCCAGAGCTTGTTAACAGCTTACTACGAACACTAAAAATCATGTGACAAAACAAGCTGCGTTCAACTGATCCTCAGTTCAGCCAAATTTAAAACTACAGGCCTGAGAACAGCCTGATGATTAACATGAGAACATAGCGTTGTTGTTTTGGTTCATGTCTTTAATCTATCAAGCCCAGTAACCTGCCTTCGGCAATGTTGCCTCTGAAGAAAACTTCTCTCTGTGTAATGCATCTAGCCAATGCGGTATGCCGTGCAAACGGGAGGGATTCCTTCCTAGCTTCTGCTGAATCTCCTGTCAGGCTTTCTTATATGTGAAGAAGAGAGATGGAAAGATTAGATCTGCATTTGCACCTCAGTCTAACATTCTGTCAGAAATATGCTGTATGCCAAATATCATATGCCAGAAAGTTTTTTTTTTTTTAAAAAAAAAGGGCACCAATCAGCCCTGCCACGGTTGTTGCATGGGGCTACAGCATCAAGAGCAAGGGTGTCCCATCCTAGAGCAGGCAGAGTGTTTCAGCAAATACTGAACCACACAAGCGGTTTGAATTGAAAGACTAGGCAGGCAGGTGGATATAACTGATATTTATAACTTTTGCACTTTCTTTGAAGAACTATGATTATTTCTTATACTGCTTGCTTTTTAAATGAGTCCTACTGTGCGCTTCTTTGTACAGCCCCAGTCAATAAAAAGTAAATGCAGGCAAGGATGAAAGAGATACAGCCGATGTTTTCAGACTTGTCTGCCTACAGATATATTGTAAAGTCACCTCCTGGTCAAAGATGCTAGAGGCTTGTGCGCTCAGTGTAGTTTCAGGTGGACCTGTGTGGATTTAGTACAGCTGGGAATTGGTACCCAGGTCATCCCTTCTGCTCTCCTGCACTGTAGTGCTGTGCTTGGGCATGGCAGGTACAGGAGGCCGTCCCCAAATTCCTCAATCTGTATATAGCAATTTTCCATGCCATCAGCTGGATGGTGAGTGTCAGATAGCTATTTTCGAGGCACTGGCTTGGAAAGGGCAGGAAGAGAGTTTATCAAAAAACAGATAGAGGGGAGAATTCACTTTCTTGGAGCAAGGCTTGTTCTTTTTGCATGCAGGTCCATACAAACCACCAGTTACCTGTGTGCATGCACAGACTTAAGGTGTTACAGGTCTTACATCACTGCACTAACTAGATGCAATTGGAGAACAGTGGGGCTAAATCCAATTAAGGCTTTCATTGCTGGGAAGTTATGAACTGCGACAAGCACTCTTTGGATGTATGTGCCCTCTGCTGATCTTTAGTTTGAAACCCCTTTGAAATGTGGCCAGTGCTGCTGGGATCCTCTCACATCATAGTCTTGCAGTTAGGAGTCTCAGCAGCAAGCTGATAACCTGGGCCAAATCCTCTGCTCAGGCTGGCTGGGGCGTGAGGCAGGGAGCGCCGGTTTGAAACCGGAAAGCTGCGGAAGGAAACAGATCTTCCACTTTGCTGGCAATTGCTCTCCGATGGGCAATGGGATTTGCTATCGATATCCACAATGACACTACCATGAGCTTTTTGGGAAGTGAGATCTGTACTGGCGGTACTTCATCCCATGGTAGAGGCTGCTGTGCCTCTGCTTGCCTTCAAGTGCCTAAGACTTATGACACATCTACTCTAAATATCTGCATGGCATACATATATAGAAGATTACATATATTGATAAGAATACTGCATGAGAACTTAAAGGTTCATCAGGAATAATTTCTTCGTATTGTACAGAGTTCATCCCAGCTATGGTTACATCAGTAAAAGGCACTGCACCAAGAATGAATCTAGCCCATTGTACCTATTGCATCTGTCACTGAAATGCTTTCTCCTGCTCTTGTCTTGGGCTGAGATTGGTTTTTGGAGCTGCCGTGCACCCTTGACAGTTCACACTAAAATGTTCACTGGCAATGGAGGTAATTAATGTACCTAGCTGTGGGTAATAACAGGCTCTTACCCATGCTCTGTTGGGGTGAATTAAAGGCAAGTGCAATTAGTGACATGGAGGAAAAAATGCATTTGATTAAGGTAGCCAGCAAAACTTCAACAAACCAATTGAGCTTCATTATTTAACAGCTGCATGACACATGTCTTGTAAATAATTTCACACATGCAGAGCATTATCATAGAAACTGTGGATTTCATGCTAAATTTTCCACTCTCTGGCTCTTGGTGCGTTCTAACCTCTTCCATTTGTGTAAGAATTATGTGTGACATTTCTCAGCTATTTTAAGAAGTGCTGCAGCATACCAATCATACAAAATAGCAGTCATAGTCCATGAAACAAGTAGCAACTGCAGCCAGTAACTCAGGCATTTGGTTAATATTACTGCTGTAGATTTACTATACATTCTCTACCTACGTATCAAGAGATAAAACCTTTTTAACATCTCGGGGAAATGAGATGAGGCTGGATGACTTCCCACAGTAATTCATGGTGTCAGGCCAGGATAATAATGGTTGGCAAGATCCCCTGACAGCGTAAATGAGGGGTTTTATTACCTGTGGGGACACCTCAGGGCTTTCATCCAGTAATCCTGGCTTGTGCATTTAGCACAACTCACAGCAAGGTGCAGAAAACAACAAAAAAGAATGCTTCTGAAAATCATTTTGTTAAGTAGCCTTTAAAAGCTGGTGTTTTACTGCTGAAGGAACAGTCTGCTATTCCTTTATAGAATAATTATGATTAGTCTGTTTGCTGCTGGAAGCTGTATGTCAAAACACTGCAGCCTCTTCTGCTTTGTATTTTAGCCACCTTCTCCTTCCTTGGCGCTCTCCTCATTTCTTAACTCTGTTTGTGTGGAGCACTCGGTGACATCTCTTGATTTTTGGTGAGAGCAGCCTGGGAAACAGCAAAATTTTGTGATCAAAGTGGAGCGACTCCAGCAGAGTGAGTTTCCTCCAGCAGTTTGTGTTGATCTAAATCTTCATTTCTTTTTGTTTGGGCTTTACTATTTTATTATGTTTTCTCTCTCTTTGTCTCTAAGGTGTATATTCTGCCTCTTTCAGACCGAGTTCCTGGGCTACAGATCGAGGCCTGGACCCCACTAACAGTGCCAGTTAAACAAATACAGTTTCCTGAATACAACAGGAGGTCTGGGTTGAGTCTGATCATTGCAGAGTAACCATGCTGGTTGTTAATAGGTTTTTCCTTCCTTCTGCTCTTTGGCTTTCCCCTGGTTGTGTAGTTTTCTCTTCGGCTGGCCTGGGCTCAGACACCCGCTGGCAGCAGCAGGGTGGCGGGAAGGTAACAAGCTTCCTTCAAATAACATTCTCCCTGCTCATGAGGGATATTAACCGAGGGCTGGCTTCCAATGAGTGCTGTGTCAGACATGGGAAAGCTGCTTTTTACCTCTGACTTCCCCTCCTGCATGGGGATTTGGGGATGGAGCTGTAAACCACATCTCTTATTTCTTATTCATTTGAATCACTTGAAGCAAAAGCTGCTTTTGCTGTATGACTCCTTTTTTTTTTTTTTTTCCCCCTCTCTTTGCTTACCTGACTGGCAATCTATCAGTAAAATACCTCCCCTTTTCTCTTTTTAATGATTCAGTGTGCTACCTCTTGCAGTTCTACCCTTGAATACAGCTTTGAAATTTGAAGGGAGCTGTCTCCCGCAAGGATTATATGCTCTCCAGTAGAGGAAGTGGGCAAGAAAAATCACACCCGTACCTTAAAAATGGAGCCACATAAAATAGGATTATAAAAAATGGGCATTTTGGGAACCTGATAATCCTTTTCTTTGGACTTAGCTTACATAATGTTCTAGTTGCAAATGAGCCCTCTGTTTCTGGGAAGGGCAGAGGAGAGGAAGTTAACATGAAAAATCTAGGTTTAAGAGTACAGTTTGTCATGATTAGCAAATCAAGCAAGTCTAATTAGATCTAATTTTTAACCCTGTCAAACATAGGTTTTGTCTGAGGACCGAAAACTACGTATAGCACTCTGAGGACATGCACTTTGAGAATGTTTCTTTTAAAAGGAGAGCTAACCTAGCCCTGTGACATAGCTTGATGTTCACGAAACTGCTCTGTTTTGGTAAATGTGAGATTTCTTTAATCCTTCCCTATCTGATACCAGTAGTTCACAGTGATAGGGTAACCCATCATGCACCAACAGCCACTGGTGCCGATGCTGAAGGCGAGGTGGTGATACAGATATGACTAAATAAGTGTGTGGGTGGGAGAGTTGAAATTGGAGCATGAATTATGATGGTTCTCTGTCACACACACACAAAAGTTGTTTTAGTAGTGCTTACCTGTGTACCCAAGTGGACAGATGCAGTTGTACTGCCCTATCTGGTTGAGACACGTTGCCCCATTCAGGCACGGATCTGACACACATTCATTCACCTCCAGGTCACAGTGCTTGCCTTGGTAGCCTGGGACGCAGTAGCAGGAATATTCATCAACTCCATCCCTGCACACTGCTCCATTGTGGCATGGTTCGGAAATGCATTCATCAAAATCCATTTCGCAGAGTGTACCTGTGTATCCTGCATTACAAAGGCAGGTGGGCCCAGCCAGGCCATTTTGGCAAGTGCCTCCATGCTCACAAGGGTTTGTGTCACACATGCTGATGGCTGTTTCACAGGTAGGTCCATTATACCCAGCAGGGCACTCACAAGTAAAGCTGAGGTTTCCAGCAGAGCTTAAACAAGTAGCGTTTTGAAGACAAGGGTTTGAGGAGCAAGGATCGGAGGTTTTATTGCAGAGTTCCTCCACACTGTCCACTGATGCATCTGCACAATGGCAAGTATCATCTTTATGATCAGCAATGCATGTAGAGTTCTTTTGGCAAGAGTTTGACAGGCACCTGGAATCATTCCTTGTGCAAAGTGACTCTAGAAAGGAAACACAAAAAATCCTGAGGACTTCCACAGTCTGGGGAGTAACCAAGAGTGAAAAAAGTGCAACTCTTAACACGACCGTGCTTCAAAACCAACAGCTCCAATTGTTGGCTGTTGAGAAGAAACCAGTGTATGATGCATATTAGTAGACTAATAAATGTGAAGTGAAAACAATTATGAAAATGTGAGTAGGTTGTAATTTCCTGTTCTCACCTCTTCCAACAACCATGGCTTGGAGTGTCAGGATTGCTTAACACTATATTAAGAGTACAGTTGCAACAATATTGGTGGTTATCAACAGATATCTAACAATATGGAATGCATTTAGGTATATTTAACACAATTTTATTTTTCTTTTACTAGAAAAAGGAGTTGAACCACAATTTTCAGTTCAATACCACTTTGTATTCTTATGTGGTGGAAGGTTTTTGTATTAGAATTCAACAAAGCTAAATGACTCAAGTGCAGTTATAGCTCAAGTGGTTCAAACCATCATGCACTTTGGTTTTGACTTCCTGATTAGAAATAGTAGTTTGACAGCTGTACAGCATTTCCACCACAAAGAATCTCCCAAACACCTGAGATTCAAAATAGCCCTATGAGTGTCTTCCAGCCTCTGAGGGTGGAAGACCATGGTGAACACGGTGTAAACATGTTCTTTAGCCTCCAGGAACTGAGCTCCTGGCAGTAATTAAAGGCCACTTGGAGTTGCCTTGCTGCTGTAAAGACTGGCTGACAATAACAATAGCTACTTCGCACTTCCCAGCCAAGGAGGAGAGAGCTGTTATGAGCATTGTTCATACTGCACAACTGAGAAACACCGAGAGAGTTAAAGCAATGAAAGTAGTGAAGGGTGTTCTTTCTAGTAAAAGAAAACAAGAATTTTGCTGTGAAACTGTATAATTTTTTAATCATGATTAATTGTTTCCATATCAAAATAAATAGCTGTATTCAGATAAGCATAGCATACATATGTAGGATATATACCTGCTGCCTTAAATTCAGTGTTAGACATACTAAGCAATAGCAGCAAGGTGCCAAATACTGAGCGCCGGAGGTAGGTGTGTTGACCTGGGCTGAATCCTCCACAATCACAGCTTCACTGCCAATATCAAGAGAGCTAGACTGAAGCTTGTATACTTTTATGTGTGTTATAATCAGGTCTCCCACACGCAACACAGACATAGTTAAGAGTGCAATGGGGTTCTATTGATCACTGAATTAATCTTATAATGTCATGTTGCTTCTGTCATGACTTGCCATTCTTTTGGTATGGAAATGGTGTTAATCATCAGCACATATCCTGCAGCATTTGGGAATTTTGTTACTCATGTATAAACTGACTCAAGGCTGTGGAGATGATAAGACCCAAAAGGGTGATTGCAAATGGGGTGTTTGCTCTAGACCTCGATCTTGGTCAAGCTCTTGAATGCTGAGGGAAGGTTAGTGGAAGAAATCCTGGAGCTGCCTCCAAATACTGTGCTAGTAAAATGAAACAGTGGCAGATCAAACCTCATAGATGGTGGTTAACAGAAAGAAGACAGGCAAGTAGTTATTCACTGACATAAATCATCTAGAAGACAGGGACTGTTTCAATACTGACCTAAAAAGCCAAATGCATGTATAGTATTTTAATTCCTACTGATCAAATTGGAAAAATCTGGAGTATAAGAAGAATTCTATCCAGTACAGTTTTTTCTTTTGCAACTGATTTTCACCATATGAAATAGTCTACTAATATTGAACATCTGAATACCATCAGACTTCTAATGTGACATTCCTCAAAATATGAGGGTAAAACTGTAAACAAATATTTTACATATTGCTAGAGAAAAAAAATTATCATGGGAGGGGAAAAATCCCAGTCATATTTTGGCCAAGGATCTATGAAATAAAGCTGAATGTTCCTTTTGGAGAGAAGGTAGTGATTCAGAAGGGAAAGACTAACAGGCTGGAGAAAGTTGCATTAAACAATCTATATGAGAGTCCTGTAAACATCCTATTTTCTGCTTTGGGTTTATATTTTTAATCTGGAGTCTTGTTTGGAAATACGACAGGTATGTGTCTTCTACAGCAGTTACTTGAAAATGAATGGCAGAACAGCGTATGCTTGTGCAAATGGTGTTGTGGATGAACTGAACTTCTCTAAGAAATTCAGACCCGTCTACCACTAGTCTCTAATTTCTTCCTGGTTCTTGGAACTGACATTCAGGACGGTGGACACAATAGAGAAGGAGATGGGGTACTGAAAGAGAAGCAGCCTGTAGAGATGTTTATCAATAATGGGTTAGTCCAATGCTGATAAAGTCCTGGGACAGATCCCTGGCTGGCTGCGAAAGTGAGAGGCGAGGGTTGGTCACCTGAGGATAACAACCAACCACTGGGGATTGTCAGAGAACACAAACTGACTGATGAGGGTGCCTTTCCATGATATGTGTTTTGATACATAACATAATTTAACGTTTTTTTCCCAGGATGGGGAAGTGGGGAAAGAAAGCCTCGGAAGGCTTTAACAGCTTAGGAAAGACAGCTTATGTAGATATGACCCTATGATAATAAATGGGAAGGTTGGGAACGTTATCCGTGCTTCATCGTTGTGCCTTCTGACTTGAGGCGTACACAGGAGCAGCAGTGCCTCTGAGAATAAAAAGCACTAATCTGAATCAACTTGATGCTCATAAATAGGTACATTTACTGAGTCAAATACCTAGTTAATACTTGTTTGAACAAGTGGAATAGAGATTTACATAGCAACATCAATAGTAAGAATGACATCATGATTTAAAAGAAACTGACAGTGGTCTTAAGGGTTATATAGAAATAGTTTCTTGATTGTTTCTTTTGAGGTGTTGCATGTATAAGTAAAACGTGAGAAATTATTTTGTTTGAACTATTTTTAGCTTTTGTCATGCTCATATATACCAGAGATGCAGAGGAGAAATATCTAGAAAAGGTATGGTCTTTTCTTGGTAAAGATTGTCTTTATTTAATGCAGGCTAAGATAGACCTGATAAAGAAAGCAAGCTAAAAATTGACTAGCAGGACAAGAAATGGAGCTTTACCTTCTGTTCTTTGAAGGAAAACAGGACAAAAATAGTACTTCTGATTTAGCCTGCCTTTAAAATGACCGGGCCCAAACCTGTTAACATTCAGTTTTGCAGTTGTACTTTCCCCAGCTCACAGCTCTCACTGAATGCAAAATTGAAGACATTGGCCATGTTGTATTGACTTGCTCCACAGTCAGCAGTATGACAGACCTTTCTCCTCAACACACCCTCACGTATGTTCTGATGTCCTAGTTTACATAATTTTGCATGTTACCCATGTGTTTAGTTTATTTTCTTTAGCCTGGATAATAGAGAGCTTACTACAATCTATTAATTACCATTAAAATGAGAAAAACTTTGTTCCTTAGGAACTTTTGCAACCCACATTTTTCTTGGGATTGCACAACTTTAAAGAGCTTGCTTTCCCATCTGTCTACCTTCTTAAAATTCATTAAAAGTGCACATTTGAAGAAACATTGCAAATTTGAAGAAATTAACTTATGATGAAGTTATAATGTTATCTAACTATTGTACTGTGTAAACCACAAGAAGTGAGGTCACTCATTCAAGTGCTCCTTAAGTAGGACCACTGTGACATGAGAAGCAATTTAGTTAATTATATTACTGCTTTTCCAGAGATAATTTGCATGCAACAACTCAATTTGTTGTAATGACTTTGTGTGAGAGAAACTGAAGCATTTGCCAGTCTGCAGTTTTGATAGCAACATACCAGCTTTGAGCACTGGTTTACAAGCTTCGTAGCTCTCTGAGGCAGTAATAGTGGATGGAAAATGAGGAAAAAAAGGAAAGCAAGCCCTAAAAGCACAGTCTGTAGTGAAGGCAACCAATTTGTCTCCAAGATGACACCACAATGGGAAAAACATGAAACAGAAAACCTTTCCTGGATTTTTTAACTAGTATCTTAATTTCAACTCCTCTGGATTTATAAAACAAATTTCTTATGCAAACATTGCCAACAGACAATTCAATAAATCTAATACTCCCTAGAGGATGCTTTTGTCTGATTTGTACTACAAGTTTACAGTGAAGTAATAAAGCTTTTGGAGTTTTATCTTCGTTCTAATGCACTGTGCCATGTTTTTATTATTTGTGTAGTTCTTGAGGAACACAAGAGTTCTGAAGTCTTTGCAGAGATGTAATCACTGTTGAGTTTTAGCTTACTTGCGATTTAAGGGCTAGGACCAAGAGTTTTTGTTAGGGGTGCCATGCAGTAGTTTTTCCCCAGCAGCAAAACTGCATCTCAAAAAGGTGGTCATCAAAGGGTATGCAATTGTCATACTGTGGTTATCAAATGGTATGCAGGTCACCAGGACATTCCTGTGATTTTTTTGAGAAAAGTCATGTTGCTAAATGACATGAGTGCTTCAGGAAATCCTTGGACCCTGGACTGCTAGTTAGAGCACCATTTTCCACTTATTTGAGACAAGTTGTTTACACTACTTCCCTTTCTGCCCCATGGAAGCTTGGTTGCCCTGCTGCTCTGGAGTGATGGGGAAGGATGGATTTGGGAATCTATTGAGAGCTGTGGGGAAATGAGACAGGCAGATCACAGCATGTGGAAGCTGAACTCCCTCATGCTGTGTGATGTGATGTGGCAGAGTATGGTGGTGTCTGACGCAAAGGCTGGCTCAGTTTGAGCTCATGCTTGAAGAATATTCTCTACTACATTTGCAGAAAGAAGGCAGAAATGTTTCAGTGTTTGGGGGGGCTTGATTTTTGGTAAGGCTGCAGAGGGATAAACTGAAAAGGCCTTATGTTCTAGGTCAGATACGCAGGAGTCATTTTCATTCTTGAGCAATTAAGGTCACTGCAGCAGTCACTTGTTCTGACAGGGTCTTAAAACTTGTATGTAGCATTAGAAGAATGGAAACAAAATGCCGATCACTTTGGATTTACACTGACTGACACTTGATGTAATTATCAGTCTCTTTATAAACATTGGTACATTAATCTAATTATGAGCGGA